CAATACAGGTAATGGCATAGGTTTCATGTTAAGATTGGGTACTCCCCACCAGGTACAATATTCTGATTGTTTGCATCTTGTTTTTAAGCCCATAAATAATAATTTACACATTCTAATATATATTGTAATGTACTCATTCTATTATATTAATAAAATCACCTTACATTGCTGTTAGGTTATCAATGCACAAATTAACACACTCTCTACATTTTAAAAAAAAAAAGCAAAAATTAGAAGTGTTCTTAACTAATGTGCAGTCTTCACTGTAGCTCACGCGCACACATTCAGTCACTCCAACAAATCACACTGCGCGCACACACAGACATTCAGCAACACAGAAACTTTAGCACTGCCCCGCAATTTCATCAATAAAAGAGCTTCACCGCTGAAGAGCTGCATTATCTTTCTCAGCAAAGAGTTGGTAACATAGTTTCTGAAGCAATTAAAGCCACCTCTTCACTGTTAATAGAGAAACGCGGCAAAAATGGAGGCAATTCTTAAATACACCGTCTCTCTCTCTCGTAAATGAACACTTGATGAATTACACTTTTCTGAGAATAAAATACCGAAGTGGAGATCGCTAAACTGCAAGCTTACCGTTGTTTTCAGAAAGCCAGCGCTTTTATCCACAGCGGAGAGCATGTGCACATGGTTGCCAGGTTGACAAAAATAAGTAACACACTTAGCAAATATTTCCTTATTGCGCAAGTGTGAAGCTCTGTGTCGGGGATTACGTCTCTTTATATCAGGCAACCCGGTTGGGTTCCTCTGTGGCCAGATTAAACGTAGTTGTAGCCTATATATTATACTCAATTCATTATTTTTTTTAGAAACCTTGCACTTTTCGCTTCCGTTTTAAATGCTGTTCTTGCATTCAAATAAAGTGCGGTCCAACTGTTGCGCACGTGCCGTAATATCGATACTGAAACAGCTGTATCGATACCCGTACCGTCAAATACCTGTTACGATACATCGTCGTATCGATAATATAAAGACAGTGTTAAGACAGTGTAAAGTATAAAGACAGTGTTATCAGTCACAACTTCTGGCAAGAAATAGCGCAGACACTTGATGATGATTCGGGGAACAGACACAGTCTCTATTAGCTATGTAACGATTACCGGTTTGACGATAAATCCTGATAAAAATCCTGAAAGAAAAAAAAAGTCACCTACATCTTGGATGGCCTGATGAAGAGAAAATTAACAGCAAATTTTCATTTTGGGTGAACCACCCCTTTAGATATGCAACCTGATGAGGCCATGTGAAAACATCTATTCTTGCACAATTAATGTTTTTAAGCATTAGTTTCTGCTAAACAGCAAATACATCAAATAACCCAGTCGCCTGTGAAACATTTCCATCCTGACCTTCACAAGGACACTTTATTCAAAGACAAGAAGCAAATAATCTCTAATACAGCCAAACCAGGTGAGTTAGGGAAATTAGTTAACAAGTCAATCCAAAACATACTGAAAAAAATATATTATTTTGATAAACTACATTATCTGTAATGATGTTTACCTGATTTGATACAACACAAATTTTTAATATCTATAGCTACACATATATAGGTTAATTTATTTCTATAGACTACAACATTACAGAAGATCTTTTGCTGATCTTTACATTTCTGTAGCTCAATCACTAGAATATGGCAACTAAAGGTGTGAATCTTCATTTTCCTCACAATTCGATTACGACTCAGAGGGTAACAATTTGCTTATAAAACGATTATTGATGCATCACGACATCTTTTTCTCCAATTCTTTTATTAATAATTTCTGTATTAATAATCACAATACAGATCTTTTTGTTACCTTTGTTATTAAATATAAGAACTTAGTCTTAGATCCTCCCGCGCAGGTTTGTGCATTGTGCAACAACATCCCTCCAGTGACCCCAATCAGCTGCGATACTCTGGAGATCTTTCTTGAATGCTTGGCACCATGTCTTCTTCGGTCTTCCATGTGGTCTCTTACCTGCAGGTGGTATCCAATGTATTGCAGTCTTTGGGTGGCAATGATCAGGAATACGTTGTAGATGTAGTCGGCATTCTGTGACAATGTCTTGTAATTTCCACAAGCCTGATCACTGAAGGATCTCCTCATTTGTAATGTGGTCACTGTACAGTATGTGACCTGCAGGATTTTGCCAAGACAGCGCTACTGGAACACATTGAGCCTATAAGCAATCTTTGCAGTGATCTTCCATGCCTCACTGGCATATATCGTGTTTGGGATAATAATTGTATTGAACAGCTGGATTTCAGCTTAAGGGTTGATCACTACCGATGACCAGATTGGGCACATTTTCTGGAAGACTCTTGCGTTTCTGTAGTTGACGTCTGCTTCAGTGTTGCTGTAGTGACAAAGCTGGCTGTCAAGGTAGGCAAGTTTCTCAACATATTCGATGTTCTGATCACTGATAGTGATTGACGCATCTGGTCTGGTGCTGTCCACATACATGACCTTTGTCTTCTTTGTACAAAATCTGAGCCCGATCTTGTTGGCTTCCGTTTCTAAGCTGTTGGACATTTCCTGCAGCACAGGCCGCACTTCTGCAGTCAATGCAATATCATCCGCAAAGTTCAAATCGGTCAGTCCGACCTGGTGTTTCCATGGAATTCTCATAATCATCCCGTCCATTGCTCATTGCATTACAAAACCCATGGCCAGGAGAAAAAAGAAAAGGAGAAAGTGGACAGCCTCGCCTGACTGCAGTTTTGATGGTGAAGAAATCCGTGTCGCCACTTTCCAATCTGATGCAGCAACTGCAGTTCCAGTAGAGGTCAAGGAATATGTTGATAAAGTGCTGAGGGATGCCATAACTTCATGCAATGTTCCAGAGAGATTCTCTGTGAATGCTGTCAAATGCCTTCTTGAAGTTGATAAAGTTGATAACGAGAGGTCGTTGAAATTCGATGCTTTGTTCGATGATGTTGCGGCAGGTCTGCTCACTGCAGGATCGACCGGGGCGAAATCCGGCTTGTTCTTCGCGCAACATTTTGTTGACCTCGCTCATTAGTCGTTGTAGAAGAACAATGCAGAAGATCTTTTCAGGCACAGAGAGTACTGCAATCCCTCGCCTTTTGTTAAGGTCAGATAAATGACCTTTCTTCTGTAATTTGACTATTACTCCTTTTCTCCACTCTTCGGCTTGCCAGCACTCATTGAATAGGTATGTCAGCTGCTGTATCATTTGATTACTTCTATATTTCAGGAATTATGCATGGATTTGGTCAACACCTTATTGTTCTTCACTGACACTCGTTTCTTGGGTCATGATTGGATCAAGATTGACATTGAGATTTGTGTTAAAAAAAATAAGAATAATGATGCAAATAACAAACAGTATAACAAATACAATATAAGAAACAAATGAAATTAACAGTGCTTTACATTTTTTTCATTTTAAATCTAATCAACAGAATCATTCAAGAAATAACACATTAATACATAAACTGAATAATTAAATGTAAAAATAAGTGATGCATAGTCTTTATGTATTAACTGCAAATAAACTGATTATTATTAAAGCTACAAAAGTCATTCAGTCAAGAGCAGTGAGTGATTCACCCTTTATGTTCAACAACAAAATTCAGTCCCAGAAGTATGTAAGATATGGGGGAAATGCTAAATATATTTTACACAAGTTTTTGACACTAATATAACTTCACATATAATTTTACAGAAAGTATTTCTGACAGGTAATGGACTCTATACATACCCGGGTCGAAATGACCCAAAGTAGTTTCATTCCCTTATTAAAAACTATGCATATCTTTAGAAATGTTCATACATTTTTCTGCATCAAAAATGGACCTGAATACATTATGAGGGTTAATTTTATATCAAACATTTTCAGTTTCAGATTTTTCAAATTTATGTAAAAGAAAATGTGATCTCAGACTTTTACACCACTTGCATGAAAGTTGCACCATTTATCATACTCAATAAAACCATAGAAACAACACAAGCTGACTTTTCTGTATATTTCAGTATTAAATACATTTAAATCCACTTATTGCAGTTTAGCTGAGGCTGTTTTTCTTGTATGGCTTTTTGTCATTGCCATAAAATTAATAGTATTATGTCTATAATTTTAAATGATAAAATATAACATCTCTTTTCATAAAATGCTATTATTTTGTTGTTTCTGTACTCTAAATCTCCAGGAGAAGGGCCAAGCACACGCCTACTAGAATTTGCATAGGAAAATAACTGCTGAAGGCATTAAATTTGGCATGATCTGAAAACATACTCTGCTAATCACAAACACATAATACATTTACATAAATACAGCAGACCTGAAAGCTAACAACCACGTGGCTCTGACCAAACGTGTGATTTTATACAACATAATGCAAGAACTGGTACTTTGAATGCAATACAAGTCGGTTTGGACAGAAGTGTCTGCCGAATGCATACATGGAAAGTTAATTTTAGAAGACGATTTTAAAAGGAGAATGGATTTTCTGAATAAAAACATCTGTAAATGTTTGTGCATGAAGTACGATCTTTTATCTATACGTTTATCTATTTATATTATTTAATCAGGTGAAATGATGTGAAATATACACACTGGCTCTTAAGCCACTTAGCAAATCATGACTGCTATCATCAGTCTAATGTTTTAAAGCAGATTTATGCATGATCAGACAATGAACATCTTCAATCAGACTGAGATTAATCTGAGATCATTAATTTGCAGATACTAAATCAAGAAAATTTAATCAATAAATATACAGACGGCACAATGACTTTTTGTGATATTTTTGGATATTAGACTAAAAGACAGCTGTCATTCAAAGATTCAGTCTAAATGTGTAACATCTACTTTACAAGTATAACGAGGAATCACATTATAACGAGTGTCCTCAGATGATCCACCAAAACACAACTTAAGGAGGAACCACAAAAAACAATAAGGACACACTTTGCATATCTGACTGTGAAATCCCCTTCTTAACGTAACAAATCCATTAAAAGAGCACAAGATTGGGAACTTGAGAAACATCCTGAAAACTCACTATCACTGAAGGTAGGCCAACATTTCATCAGTTTACTCTCAGCGCAGTTTAACAGGTCAGTGCTTTTTCATTCATGAGGGATGAACAGCTAATTACTAAGTATGCTGTACTCTTCACATCAAATTGTTTGTAATGAAAATTGAAGATTTTTTTTCCTTATACACATATATAAATTTAACCTTAAAACAATTATGCCAATTCATCAAGCATGCAGCTAGCATATTAGAGAACTAATTTGGGATTCTTTTGTATTTTTATATTTTTCCAGTAACAAAAAACACTGGCAAAGTGATGGACCAAATTTGGCTTCATCTGCTTTTTCTTTCAGGTAAAAAAATATGCAAAACATTAAAAAATGTTAAAATATGTAACACTACAAAAATTATATTTGCATATTCTTGCTGTTTTACATACAGCAATATTGTAATAAAAATGTTAAAAACTTTGTTGGCAAGAGTGAGACAAGGAGAATTAAGGTCAATGTGATCAACTCAATAATTCAGATTGTCTATTATCAATTAAAATGACCAAACAAACAATAGGTGTCAGTAGTGCCTTATAGCCATTTTTTATGTTAAGTGCCTTTTTTTTTTATACACACAATGTTTAATGTTTTTAAATGGAAAAACCGCAGGATATAATTTATAAGCTGCTTGTGATGAAATTATTTGGAAATGGTGACAAAAATAATGTTTGATTAAAAAATGCCTTTCTCATTAAACGTAATTTAAATAAAAGAATATTCGAATATTCGTTTTTTATGAGCTCAAATAATTGAATGCAATATTTCTGTCATAATTTCTGTCAAAGTTAAACCGGACTTTTTTGACAGATTGTCGTTAAGGTCTTTCAGTTTTACTTTCCGTTTCAGGGTGTATTTGACAGTAGTTTCTTATTAAATGAAATCGTGTAAATCTGCTGAAGTGGCTCTTGGAACAACTCTGGAGATGAAGTTCATGTGTTCATGTCTCATATATTGAGACGCAGACGCTGAAATCACCACGAGCGTTGTGTGTTTGCGTTTGTGTCATCGAAACCGCAGCATTCATTCACACAGAGACGCACTGTAACGGGGCGAACGAGACGAGAGACGGATCCATCTGCAAAGCTTTATTCTTAAACATAGTCAAAACAGACAAGAGTCGGACAATGGCAAACAGGTACTTATAGGGCAAGACAGAAGAGTGATCCAATAAACAGGCATAGGTCGATCAACGGCGAACATAATCCAAAGGATGAGGCAAGCAAGTAATCCAGAGACAGATAATAATCCAGGCGAGGTGCGAACAGAATCCAAACAACAAGACGAGAGCGAAATCCGAGACAGGCAGGTTATCAGGAACAGACAATCAGGCAAAACTAGAAACAGGACTAGAACTAGACTAAACTCGTAAAGTGCTACCACTAGGAGAGTGATAAACGCAGACAATACTCAGCGATTAGAGAAGGATTTGAGTGGTTGTTATATAGTGTGTGTGTGATTGGCTGCAGGTGAGTCCAATCAGTGCAATGAAGCATGGGAAATGTAGTCCAGGGTGACGTGCAACAGTTTGTGTTGTCTGAGAGTCAATGTAATCAGAAGGCGACCTGTAACCCCGGTTTCACGAAGTGTAATTGAAGGGAATTACTTAATTTATTCACAGTTTAGTAACATCATATTTCTCAAGTTGAAAAGAGGTGTAGAAGTTATTAAAGAACATTTAAAAATTAGTCAATTTATCCTATTTAAAAAATTAGTTATTGACCAATAAGGGCTCTCAGTCGTTGCGCGCCCTGTGTGTCAACGAGCATGCGCAATGACAGAAGAGACGAGCCTGACAGAGAAAAGACGTGATCTGATCTTCGCGATCTAATTTAAGGAAATATAGATTAAAAATCCTCCGAAAAGTGTACCAAAGTATTATAATTTATTTATTTCGAGCCATCCAGTATCTGAAGAAGCTGATTGAATACTGTTGAGTCACATTTTACTCGTTCACCGACGCCATTGTTGGTCACGTGCCTGTGATAGAGAAGCGCCTGTGTAAGAGAAAAAAAAACAATTGATACAGAGGCCAGGGTTTTTTTTCCTTCTTTGTGTTTTTCTATTTTTTTCTTTTTGATTCTATGGATTCGTGACACTCCCGTGATCTTCTGCGACATCCTGTGAAACTTCACATTTGATGGCGAGCCAACCAAATCTGCTACAGAGGACGAAGAATGACACATTTTAAAGAAGAGGACAATATCCTTTCTTTCAATTATCAGCCTTGCTTTATGAAAGCAAGACGATCCCAATCTAAAGAATTAAGTTCCCTTCCTTGAGGGAATTGACAAAAAAAAAAGAACGTGAAAAGAGAAGAAACTGATCAGTACTTTACAGATCATTGAACTATTGATTGTATATGGTTACCCAATAACCCATTTGATTGACACCGAAGTTCTTATCGGGACAGCTGTGATATTTTGAGAGAAAAGTTATTTATTTTATTCATTTTTAAATTGTATTTCTTTCTGACATTGAAATGACCGGTCCGTGTATATTTTTGGGGTAAAAGAAGAGTGCACTCAAGGGACATTTTCATAGTTGACCTTTATTGTATATTGTTTGTATGGCATTGTAATTTACTTTATTTTATTTTGTTTATTATTTCCACTTTATATAACAAAGAAACAATTACATTCCAAATTAAAATCTAACTTTGTGCCTGTCTGTTGTTTCTCACCACAACCCGCCACCTCCTTTACGATCTCTAAATCTTCTGATCCATTCAATTCTATCTGCAATAACAGCAATTAATTTATTAAATTATTGCCAATTCCTTAGACACGTGTTACAGACCTCTGGTGGCGAGCAGACAGAAGAACACGGACCGGATTCGTGACACGCACAGAACATGAAGACTTATTAGCTTGATTGATTTTTAATCATCTAAAAAGTGCACCAGATTGACTTTAAGTTGAAGTTAAAAATGACAAAGATTTCTTACTTAGAGTTCAGACTGCATGCCCTTAAAGCTGTGGCCATTTTTCCCTGTGGTATTGAAAATGGTATTAAATATCGCTATTTTTTTTACAGTATTGTATCAAAGTTAGAAATTACAGTATCGAGACAAAACAGAAAAAAAACAAGGTGACTGGGACAAATAAAGCCAGCCAAATGGAAACTTTAAGAAGGAAAAATAAGAGGAGATCAGAGTGGCAAAGAGGAATTATACTGGAAAGCTAAAGAACCAATTATTTTCCAGTGATCCTGCTTCAGTGTGGAAAGGTCTGAAAGACATCACCAATTACAAGACACCATCCCCCAGCACTGTGGAGAATCAACAACTGGCAGACGATCTGAATGAGTTTTATTGCAGTTTCGAAAAAACACCATTCACACCTCCTGCAACCCCCCTCTCCCCCC